ACTATTGCAAGATTGTAAAATCCTACAGTGTAAGAAGCCTGAAGGGCAAAGCGGCTTAATTGAGCCTGTAACCTTACTGGCAAACTTGGAGAAAAAACGTCTGTTTGGTACTTCAAGAACAGCTGAACAAATTTATTGAGAATTTTTTCAGTCTTTCAAATCATCCTGAGTTAGTTAACTCTCTTAATACTCTGAGAGCTGGGAGCAAAAATGTACATGTTAGCTCTCTGGATTCTCTGAGAGCTGGCAGCCAACATTTACATAACAATGAAGGCTATCTAACTAGTCCTTTTACTGGTTCAAAACCAAGCCAGTTAACTGAGATTGCCAGCAGTGCCTTAACATTTGCATTGGTAAAACAGAAGGGGGAGAAGAGGAATCTTATGTGTGACAAAGTTCATTTGGTCAATTTAACAAAGAAAGATGGTCCTAAGAAGTCCCAAGAAGATGGGAATCGTGTTTGGGATCCAGGTCCATTTGTCACCTGGAGAAAGACTATGCATTTATGTCTTTGCAGAATAAAGCAGATGAACTCCCTTTATTAGGACACAATCATGTTTGGAAAAAGATGAACATAAAAGACAGGATGGAACCACAAAAGCTTAATCCTTTTTCAGGTTAATGACACCCTGAAGGGAGGGGCTATTTGTTGATATTTTCACAGGCAAAGGAGATAGATGGATTTCTCTTCAGCCAGCAAGGCCCAGAAGAAAGCAGGGAAGCTGATGTGTGACTTGACCCCCCTGTCCTGTTACTGAAGCTATCCAAAACGTCAAGAAGACCTCACAGAGTCCTGAGAATGGCAATCGCTGACTGCTGAGATATTTACTCCATTGCTGATGCCGTCTAAGGGACACTCTGGGACTCTATCAAAGCTGAACATTTTATACAATAATGACTGGACTATTACTACAGACTGTTGGTTTTGCTGAAAGATCAAGATTTTGGACTTGGTCATTAATGCTATAATGAGTGGAATGTAACTGATTTCTGTGTAACTCCTTACCTATATAATGTAACACTGCATGATTGGGATTTGATTAGGAATTTTGGACTTGGTCATTAATGCTATAATGTGATTGGAATGTAACTGATTTCTGTGTAACTCCTTACCTATATAATGTAACATTGCACGATTGGGATTTGATTAGGAAACATTTGCAAGGTTTAAAGGGAAACATTTCATTAGATGTGATTTAGCTAAAAGGATATTTTCTATACATTCAAGGGTGGATTTAAGGCATTCCACTAGCTGAGGTATTTAAACAAATGGTGGTTGGCATAGAAAGAGGCTGGATCCCATGTGCTTGGGTT